TAAAAATGCCCCTCCAAACTAGCTATTATATATATAGCTATTGGGGGGCATGTGTCATTCTCTCCCCCCCAAAACCAAAATACATAAATACCCCCCTTATATAACTGTTTTTTTTTATAAATCCTTATATAGTTGTTTATAGCTATCAAGGGGTATTTCTGTGAAAAAACCCTATATAGCTATGGGCCCGCAGGTTGTGTTGTGCCATGCCAGCCCATAGACCTAGATCCCCAAGCCCAACATGGCCTAGACCATCGTKTCGGGCCTGGCACGGCCTGTGTGCCATTGTGCTATGCCATGTTGGGTCGATCCAAATTTGGGCCATGTTGTGCCACTCACGGCACGGCACGATTTACACCTCTAGATTTAAGTGGGTCAAAAGGAGTGCAAATGGGTTTGTTGATTCTCTTGCTAAACAGGGAGTAACAAAACAATAGTTGTTATGGGCTTTGTAATGTGAGCTTGAGAATAGGGAATAGCATTCCCATGATCATGTTGCTCTAATCACCTCTTTAAATCTATTAATACAAATTTATTTTCTCCTGATAAAAAAATAACAATAACCAATACCAATTGCATATTTTTATATTTTTTAATTTAGAATTTTAGATTAAAAACTAATTTATTTTCTATTTTCTTATAAATCTTCAAACTACAAAGAATTACATAATACTTCTTGCCAAGTAGAGTAAAGAGATGGGAGACTAAGTCAGACAACACTTGATAAAGCAATTGGAAAGACCCAGGATAGAAATATTGCTATTTACAAGATCCAAAAAGCACAAATTCTGTCACTTGCAAATTTTGTGGCAAAGAGACAAATAGAGGGATCTTCAAAGCAAAAGAGCATTCAAGTGGTGGAAGAAGGAGAAATGCAAAAACTATGTAGTAAATGACCCAAAGAGGCAAAAGAACCAATATTAGCGTACATGCAAAGAAAAAAGTCAATGAAAGAGAATATGGTTGGAGATCAAGGGAAAAAAGTCTAGACTTTGATGATTTAGAAAATATAATTGAAGATGAACATGGAATGGGGGACAAGTTGCATGTGGTAGTCATATTTCCAGTGTTGGTGGAAATGTAAGCTTCGCTTCAAGTTCAAGATGTCATTCAAATTCTAAACAATCCCCCAATAAAAAAGCAAAAGAGGCATTTGGATAAATTCTTTCCTACTCCTAGCGCAAAAGAAGTCATGAATCCAAGAAGAGAGCAAAGAAAAAGCAAACCACTATTATTGATACGTATAACAAAGAAGGGAGAGAGCAAGTATGCATACACATTGCTAGATGGTTTTATCAAGCTAGTATTCATTGAATACCTCAAGCTAGTAAAGTTTTGAAGCAATGGTAGAGGCAATAAGGCAATATGGATTGGGATTAAAAGTCCCAAGTTACTATGAGCTGTGAGTAGGCCTTACACGCTTTTTTCATGAGGCATGCTAGAGGCATATGCCACATGCACACCTCATATAAAAAGACAAAAAAAGAAAAAAGAAAAAAAAGGGAAGGGAAGGAAAGGCCTCCTTGTGTTCAGGAGGCTTATACCTCTTACATTCTAAACTACGCCTAGCATCACACCTCCACGTTTTAAAGCATTGATTAAAAGATGTTGATGAGAGTAATGAATGACTATTGGGGGAGGTGGAATGTGATGAGGATGGTGCAGGAAATGATTTGGTGTTTGATGACAATATAGTAACATGGGAAGATATTGCTCGAGCTTTAGGAGTTGAAGAGTCGCTAAGGAATACAAGATCTAGAGCTTCCACTTCACACAACAAAGAGCAATAAAAGCTAGTGGCAAATGACCAAGACAACTTCAATTGGAAGATGAAGAAGAGGAAGAACATGATGTCGAAGAAGAAATGGAAGAGGATTTGAATGATTACAAGTCAAATGACAATAAAGATGAAGTTGAACTTCTAAGTGAAGATGAAGAGATGTTGATGGAGTCCTAAAGAATGGATATGTGACCTTAGATTTTAATAGCTTCAAGTTTAAACTTTGTGTCTCAGTGTCTATGACTCTATGTGATTGTATTGCATTAATGGTTTAAACTTGATGTTGAGTACAAGCTTTCCCTTAAAGTCCCTTGTTTTGCTAAGGTGTCAGCTAACCATTATTTGATCTCTCTTTTTTTATATCTTTTTAAGGGCTACACAACACACGTGCGCACGGGAGGGGGGTAGCCCATTCCCAACCCATAACCCCTCCATCCACCCAGGTGTAGGCAGGATTCGATCCCAAGTCTCTGGTACAACCAGCAAGAGACCTTACCAGCCATCATCTGATCTCCTTACCCACTTAAAACAAACACCCACCTCCCTTGTTATGCTAAAAATTTCCCTTATCAGATGTCATGTTGCCAAATTCCCAGATGTGCTAATTGCATCCACCTAATTACCAAYTTGGAGTCAAACTTTATCTCAATCTATTGCAGTCCCAACTGTTTGGCCAATCTTACTCCTTGATGTAGAATGTAGATCCAAGATTTCCACTCTTAAGGAATCTCCAATACCTACTGGTCTGGAATATAAAGCCATTATTTTGCCTTCATAATCTCTAAAAACACCTATTCCAGATGGACCCGGATTACATAGAACTGCCATCAAAGTTCAGTAATACCTTTTGTTGTGTCAGTGGGGACCAAATTTCCAATACCACAGGTTTGGATGAAGTTGTAGCTACTACAGCACCCCAGTTTCTATAAACTTCTTCAGCTAAGAAGTCCTTAAACAAATCACATGATTTTAACCAATGGGTGATCTTAATGGTTACTCCTTCCACTACCTCTTCCTTGGATCTAAACACACCTTTGAAGATCCTATTGTTTCTTTCTTCCCATACTAACTATAACACAACTACGCTTATGGCTTTCTAGATAACCCTTCCACGCACCTTTGGCTGCTTGCAAAATAATGGATCAAAGAGGGGGGGAGTCCACCTGCAACCCAAGATAGAAGAGAACCAAGACCAGATAAAGAACACAAAAGGCCTCTTTTTTGCAATAAATCCAAGGTATTAATTTTTTTGGAGCACCACTTCCCAGTAAAAAACTTGATATTTTTGGAGGTACAGGGCTACACGACACCTCCTTTGATGGAAAGTTCTTTGCAAGGTTAGAGGTCTAAAGTAGAATATTATAGAACGAAGAGGAATTGAAAAAACCATAAGGGTTTCCAAATTTTGCTACCCCTACAAGACTAATCCAGAAAGACCGCTTGCTTAAAAAAAATCCAAAAAGACTGCCCCTAAATAAGTAATCAATTCGTCAACCATCCCCATTTYTGAATCCCTTAGACCTCTCCTCAAGCCCAAATCCCAAGAATTATCAACAAACACATATGAGATTACTTTTCTTTTGTTTTCTGACAAGGAGTAGATAGGAGGGAATCTATCTCTAAGGGAGTTTTCAACAACCCAAACATCTTCCCAAAACAAGACTTTGTTTCCTATGTAGACATCATATTTGAAATAAGGAACATAAAAGGCAAAATACTATGAATAGCTTTCCAAGGAGAACACTAAGAAGCCCTAGGGTTGAGTCATGCATCTCAATCGTTATATGCCAATCCATGAATACTAACAATCACTCTTGACCATAAACTGTCATGTTCCATCAATAGCCTCCAGATCCATTTCCCCAAATTGAAGCACTAGTCACCTTAAGTTCAGCATCTCCCCCTTCACAAAACAAGATGATATCATATGCAAATTGTAAGTGTGTGACCACCACATCCTCCCTGCCAATCCTCCAACCTCTTATCAAATTGTTGGCATCAGTCCTCAAAATCATGGTCAATACAACAACTACTAGGGTAAAGAGGAAGGGAGACAACAAAACTCCTTGTCTAAGACCCCTTTTAGCAGAGAAGAAATCCCTAGCTACACCACTTACAAACATTGAGAAATGATACAAGGAAATGTATCCCTCTACCCATCTGCACCATCTTTCCCAAATCCTCTACACTTGAGAACCTCTAATAGAAAGTTCCAATCCACAATGTCGTAAGCCTTCTCAAGATCCAATTTGCAAACCAGCCCCTTTTCCTTCTTCCTCCCCCTCACCTATACACATTCATTAACAATAAGTATTTGGTCTAAAATTTGTCTCCCTTCCACAAAGGCCCCTTGATTCGGTGACATTAGAGAATAATCTTTTTTATTCTTAGAACTAGGACCTTAGAAATGACCTTATACATGCTTCCCACTAGACGTATGGGTCTGAAATCCTTTGGTTGGAGAGTGTCCTTCTCCTTAGGGATCAAGGCAATAAAAGTTGCATTTGCTACCGAATTTAACTTTGCCTCTCTCAAAGGATTCTTCAAAATACTTGAGAATTTAAGATTTTCTTATTTCCCGCTTTTGTAGTTATTTGACATATTAATAGGCTTTTTGTTAATCACTTAATGTAATTTGAAGTTCAGGTTTTCAATCACATTCTTCAATTTTCTGATTTTCGAAAAAAATGTGCTTTGCTTCAAAAAGGTGTGTGCCTCACCTTGTGCCTTGCCACACAGGTGCACTTAGGCCCTTGCGCCTTTTTTTTTGCCTTGTGCTTTGAAAACACTGAGCACAATCACATAATCTCAACATTTATGTAACAGATTCCAGCATAATACTGACCAAAATGTAACACCATAGGAGGATTTAGAAGTTTAATAGATTTCAGTCAAAACTGATCCACCGAAAATGGGTACAATCATTAGGCCAATGCAATATCAGGTACATGACTGAAACACTAACAAACAATACCAATGCTGTAACAACAAAACATGAAAAACAAAGGTTTTTATTTTATTATATGTATCCTTTTCATGGGATAGGGGACAAAAAGAAAAGAAAAGAAAAAAAAACTGAAACAAAGCAAATCAAAACAGAGTTTATCTAAGGCACAAAAAAACTGGGAATGGGAAGAGCTAAGAAGTATTGTTGCCATTACTTGCTAACTTAAAGAGGCAATATGATTCTTGCAAAATGCTAAAAAATGAAACTACTTACTTTTGTACCCCTAAGGGTTATACGTGGTCGATGACCTGCTAGAATGACCCCATTTTCACCAACTGTAACTGCTACTTTGCGTAAAGTCCCACCATTACCACATTTTGGACAAAAAATTCTCCCAATCTCAGCAGTCACTTTATTGCAGGCATGGCATTTTAATATCCACCTGAACAAAGAAATATCTTGAGAAAATAAGCACATTTACCCCTTTATTAACATCCAGCTAATGTAGCATTGAATGTTTAGGCCTCTTATAAAAAGTAAATTTGAATGCATGACTCCATAGGTGTCATGGACCGATGTTATGCCTAAATGAATACTAGGTATTTTAAAAAGCATGTAATCACCACCAAAAAAATGGAAAGCACGAGCTAGAATATGTTCTGAAGAAACCAAAATTAAGCATCAGGAAACACTCAATCAATCTACACACAGAAGAGATATACCTATGCAGCTCGTGAATCTGCATTCCAGTAGGTGTACGGAGACGTAGACCGATCTGTAGAATAACATTCTGCATTGCAAAATCACTTGTCAAACATGCCACAGTTGACTCTGATAGTGACCGTAACATCCAACTTTGTTCACTACTGTTGTCATCAACAGATGATGCATCAATAATTTCACTGGTCTGACTTGAAATCTCCATGTGTTCTGATGCTTCTTTACATATTTTAACATTTCTCTCAGCAGCAGTATTTGTATTATTAGATATAGCTTCAACTGCCACAGGATCACAAGTGCCCTGCTCCACAGAAAACAAGCTATGCTCCTCATCTTCTTGCAGAATCTCCAATGGATCTGCTTCCAGTCTCATTTGTTTTAAGATGGAAGAAAGATCATTATCGTCATACTTCTCTTCAGTAGTCACATCTTCTACTGAAATCTCATTAATGGTTTGCATTCCTTCAGAACTGTTATTTAGACCATGAGAACTAGTTTCCTCAACATTATTTTTCACATCAGTCTCTACATCTGGGTAATCTTCCTTTTCCAATGATGCCTCAGTCAATTCACGTCTAGTTTTTCTTCTGAGATACCTTCTATGAGTACTGCGACTCACAGCAGGCAGCCAATTATTAGAATTATCATCAAATTGTCCCTGAGAAGCATCAATTCCATTGGCTACCATCTTCTTCCCTTCAATTTTTATCTCTTTCTTTGTATGCATATATCTTCTAGGTTCCTTTGAACTATGATTAACATCATCCTGATCATCGCAGTGAGATTCACCACCATTTTCTGTTGAAGCGTCTTCACAATTAAGCTGGGCATTGTATGGGATGATATTCAAGTTCAAGTCTTTCAAAGGGAGAATTCTTGAATTGTGGTTTCCATCAGTATCAACTGCATGTTCCAAAGCCTCCCATTCTTCCAAGTTAGGAACATTAGAGCCCCATCCAGGCATCTCCTTCTCAGCAAGCCTTTTTACATTTACCATATGGATTGGTGGAGGATTATCCCTGAGATGCTTTATCCCATGGATCTGAGCTTCCAATGTATAAGTCAGTGCAATAAGTTTTAGATCAACATCTGAAAGAGTATGTAGATCACCAGTTGCCCTGGCAAAGCTGATAACTGACAAGTAAAAACATATTAACYGCATAAGTGTCTCCATTACCAAGCAATACATGACTTAGTCATAAAAAATATTTAGCAAAAAAAGGCAAGGTCAAGCACTTGCATCACTTAAACCACAACTTTGAAAAATTACTTTGCTAATCTTTGAGAGGTATAGGTCCTATAAGAAACTATGACGAGAGGTTCTATAAAAACATTTCTCTACCACTTTTTTGGGATGCAGATACATCAAAATAAACAAGAAAATTAACTAAAAGTTGGGGATAAAAGAAATTTCACTCCACAGAAATCAAAATAACAATACTATGAAAACACCACATAATCTATAACTCTTTCCTTTTGTCAGAATTTTTTTCCCAGGCATGTCCTTTAATTAATATAATATTGAACCCTGCACTTGTAATATCAGATGAGATAAACTCATGACATGTACTTAAATGTGGAATATATTTAACCTTATTGGCACACAATGCAATAGCATTACAAGGAAAATTCTTAAGCCAAGGCCTGATAAAATATAATGAATGCATCTATTATGTCTTTAGGTGTATTCTCCTCTATCAACACCTAGCATATCTTGATGAACCATTACAAGTGAAAGCAGGACTTGATCCAAAGATCCAATGTAATGAAATTGCAAGTTGGGTGAAATTGCACCTAGTGGACTTGATCCAAAGATCCAAAGATCCAATGTGGGGTGAAATTGCAAGTTGCACGCAGACCAAGTCAGTAATGAGTGTGGCTTGGACCCCCCCACCTAGTGGATTCTTGAAATTAAACTTTGATGGATGCAGTAGGGGAAACCCGGGACAATCAGGGATCGAGGGTGTTTTTAGAGATGAAAATGGGGTCATCTCTGCTATGTTCTCAGGCCCAATTGGAGTGGGTGACTCCCTTAGAGCTGAGATATGTGCAGTTATGGAAGGAGCCCGGAAAGCTAAGGAATTGAACATCAAGAAACTTATAATTGAAGGAGATTCAGAGGTGGTGATAGGGTGGCTGACCAAAGAACAAAATGATCTTTGGAAGTATAACAATGAGAAGAGGAAATTCAAATGGCTGGTGCGGGAGATGGAAGTTAAGACATGTTGGATTAAGAGATCAGCTAATTCCCTAGCTGACGGTTTAGCAAAACAAGGGGCAGAAAGGGATTCCTTTCTTCTTTCCTTTTTTGAAGTTCTTTGTGACTCTTGGAAGATAAGTGTGTTTGTCTTCCACTTGTAAATTTTCTACTGATGAATTAATGAAAGTGTTATTGATCAAAAAAAAAAAAAAATGAAAGTAAACATCATTCCAATGACCCACTGAAATGCTATGCTAACATGATGACAATGGTAATGAGGTCATCCAATCATCAATTTGGCTATAAGACTGAAGAGAGTTAGTGGATGACAATTCTAGCTACTCTGCATGTTTTCAGCATTAGAAGCAAAATATCATCAAATAGCAGGCTTGTAAAAATTCATATCTCTATACATTACCATCAAGAAGATACACCATTGTTAATACCAAACATTGCACCAAAACTGATTATTGTGTTCTATCATAATTAATTCAAAAAGGAGTTAAAAATAAAAATCAAAACATGTGCTGAACCTTTCTTTAATGCTTCAGGCGAAGGCTCCATGGTCTCCACAGCAAAAGGTACAAAAGCGAGCTGGTGTCGAGAGACTGGATCTCGCACCTCCTCCATGACTTCACTCACTGAAACAAACTTATCAGCAATGTGGACCAGCTTTTCTCCACCTTGAATCAAAGCATTGGCATCAACAACAGCAACAGCAATCCCTTTACTTGATTTACAGCTCTCAAAAACCCGGTTTACTGCACTTTCTTGCTGTGTTGGACGTGGCGGTTTCTTAACGATGTTGCTCCAACCAGGGCTTGGTGAAGGAACATCCATTGTTGCACCACAATTATAAATGCTAAACAAGAGACATCGAAACAATTGAGTTATAAGAAGAGCTAGAGTTGTCCCCATTTGATTGAAAAGATAAAATGCATGGGCATTCAAGTGGTAATATTATTGCACTTGGTTATTGGGACTTGATTGTTTTCATGAAAACCTATTAGGATAATCTAGTCATATAGCATCAAGGCTTTGAAATAAAAACCAACTGATGTTAACTACTGATAGGCTTACTACTGTTTTAACAAAGTGAAAGTGTAGAACCCCCCCCCCCTTCTTGCTAATTGTTGTTCATTCGTTCTTCTTAATACGAAACATTTTTTAAATGATAAGGAACTAACAAAACCAATAATTCATTGAATCATTCTACTTAATTTTTGAAATTGAGAGTTCCAACAACATTGTTTTTTATCAGTAACTGAAAAGGCGTTTATTGAGCATGCCATAAATATAAAGTTAAAAAAAAAAATGTTGTTGGAATTTCATGCTGGAAAACTCATACATAAAAAGGACTTGACGACAGAAAGATTTAAGAGGAGATTAGTGATGGGAAGAATAGGGGATATACTTATTATGTCCTGGCCTGGACTTGAACGATGTACAGAGGGAATCCGAACCGGTGGCAGTTCCGACCAAGAGTCTTCTTCAGACAAAGCAACGAGATGAATCTCGTCTAAGAAAATCTTCCGGGATGAGCACGACCTCCCAGCTCCAGTTTCTCCGAGAAAAGAGATAAGACTGCTGCTACTATATCTCGGTCTTACCAGTAGGAACAGCACCAAGGAATCCCGAAGACCAGAGAATAAGAAGAAGACGGAGAAGAGGAAACAGTAAAAGGGCGTGAGCGATTTTGAGGGACGGAGAGAAGTGGGGAGGTGAGAGTCTCGGTCTGTCGTTACCTTGCTAGTGTGAAGGTAGGGGACGATGAATAGTAAAGACCTCCCTCTCTTTCGATACCCTTCTCCATTAGGGCGAAATGAAAAACCTCGGTTGAATTTATATGGGAGGCAGGGGTAATTTTGTAATTTCTGGGAAAATGGGGTGTTTTGATAATTTTCGACAAAGTGGGTCAAACCGGGTTCAGGGGTTCAACCTGGTCTTCTGGTTCAATGGTAGGGATTTTTAAGCTAAAATATTGAGGGTTGAGATGGGTTTGACCGCGGAGTAGGGTCATGCGAGTGTGGGCCAACGAGATTGGCTAGAACGGAATCTATTTGGATGAAGGGGTAAGTGAGGGTGTTTTTGATTGAAATTCGTTTTGTTGGGGTTTTTGGACAATCTGATTTGATTGGTAGGGTTGGATTGGCCAAGTGGGACTAGATTGGGCAGGTCTAGCAAGGGGTCAATTTGGTTAATTTGGGGCCTCGAAAAGGAATCTTGGTGTGATGGATGGGTAGATAAAGGTGTTTTGGGCTGAAATTTTATAGATGAGTGTTTGGAGGTGTCTGTGATATGAGGGTGGTGTCTGATTATTCTTGGAGGGTCAAGATTGAGGTAATTTGGGTTCTGAGTGTTTAGGCTAATGAAAAAGGTTGAAATGGAATCTTCGTTTGATGAGGGGGTAAACGGGGGAATCTTGAGCTAAAATTTCAAGAGTAGGTGTTTTAGGAGGTCCTGGGTCTGATGGTTATGTCTGGTCTAATGGTTGAGGTGTGAGTGGGGGTCGATCGTGGCTATCGGATAGGTATCGAGCAGGTTTAGCGGTGGATTTGAGGGCTTTAGGAGCTAAAAGTTGGGATTTTTGGTTTTTAGGGTGTTTCGGAAGGATCACAGGGATCTAATCGGGGATTTGGGATGAATTGGAGGTTCAGGCAATGGATCGAGCAAAAATCGGGCACTACCAACAGTCATTCTTCTTCTCTATTCAAGCTACAAAACTTTTTCAGCAGACAACACTCATTCTTCTTCTCTATTCAAGCTACAAAACTTTTTCAACAGACGACACTCATTTTTCTTCTTTATTCAAGCTACAAAACTTGTTCAGTAGAGATTCAACCTACGAAAGTTGTTTAATAGAGATTCAAGGTACGTGACTTTTTCTTCTATGATTCTGTGGATGATTTGGATTTGGGGTTTTTTTACAATTGGGACTTAAAGGACCATCTTGGATTCACTCATGGATAGTAAAGCGCCCCAAGGAAACAAGAGCATTTGGAAATCAGAGATAAAACACTCGATTCAATACAAAAATTAGTAAAGATTTGGAAATTGTAAGACTATGTAGGAAAAACAAAGATTTGGAATTTGTAAATACCCTTTCTATTTCAGCCTTTAGCCTACCTCTAATGGCAATGGCTAAAGGATTTTGTACCCATTAGAAGTATTTTGTTGTTTCTTGCAAAGATTCAAGTTGTGGTACTTGAGAGTGCACCATTGAGCATTTATACTTTGGAGGGTTAGGAGTGGTGTTTTGCTTCATGTATAGATTCAATTGGTGCCCAAGAAGAGAGAACTATTCACTTATCGAGCTCAAGACAAAACGAGCTTGAATATATGAATTATGCAATCAAACCGAACTTGAGCTTACATTTCCAATTCTCGGGCTCGAACCTTGCATTTTTCTACCTAGCTGAGCTCAAATACTCAAATATTCAGCTCAGCTCAGCTTGAATCCACCCCTAGCTGTGTACAACATGAAACTAGTCCAATTAAGCACAAAAAAAGGCTTTCAAAAAATGCAAAAAAAAATGTTAAAAAGTAGAAACTCATAAAATAAAAGAAATATAATCTTAATATAAATTATTTGGACATTATTCTGGTATTAAATTCCTAATAGTTAAAGTACTTGCAATAAGTCTATAAGCAAAGTAGGATCCAATTAATACTTACAAGAAGTGTCTAATGATTGGCCATTTCTTAAACAGAATAAGTGTATAATGTTTACATGTGTTTTATCACAATTCACCACAATATGAAAATTCATTGGTATTCAATTCATCCTCTACTTAATCCAAAAAAAGGAGACTAAAAGAATCACTAGTTAAATATTGGTAGAGTTAGTATCCCTCTTTACCACTTAAATGTGTTATAGACGGTTAAAATAGATTATTTGCCCTTTATGACCAAAGAAAATGTAAATTAGTTGATAGCAGGCATCAAACTAAAACTTTTTTTTTACTTAACTATGAATTTTAATGATTTAGTTAAAGAGTTCCTTGGCACACATTGAGGAGAGAATAGGTTCAAGAACTAGTAATCCTTCCACCCAAACCTAGTATCCCTCCTTAAATAAGTTTGCAAAACCTACCATTGAGACCAAAGGTGAGACTTGGTTTAAAATCGAAGATAAAAAGAAAAAAGAGACCAAACAAAGAATAATACAAACTACAGAACTCAAAACAAAGTAGAGGTGTAAACCGAGATGTATTAGGCCAACATGGCACGACTTTGCAAGCCACCTGTGCTTTAGTGGGCTATGCCATTTTTTTTTATTTTTTTATGTTTCTATTTTTTTCAGTTTTTGTTAAGTAAAGTTTAAATATGATATATGAATTTGGGGAAAATAAAAATTAACAAAAATACTTAACAAAATACAAAATAGACAACCAATTGAAAAGAAAAATTTAGAAATTTTATTTCATTTGAATTTTAAAATACAATGGAATATTGGAAGTGGAATTAAATATAAAAACAATTAATAAAATTGAAAATTGAAAATTATAATGATATACGAACATGTCATCACGTGACGAGATAATTGACGGATTGTTAACAATAGGGACTAAATTGACACATTTTGAAAGTTTAGGTACTGAATTGGCATGTTTTCAAGTTTAGAGACCAAAGTGACACCAAGCCCAATGTATAGGGTACTAATTTGGAATTTTTAGTAAGAATATTTCTGTATGAAATACAATTTTCTAACCTAGAATAGGTGAAATTTCACCTATATTGAACATCTAATACAACTTGTTTATATTTTAAACCATATTTTTTTTACATAAATATTTGAATTCTTGTTTTTTATTCCAATATTTCTAATATATATAATACAATTTCTAATTTTAGAAATATGATGAGAAATAATATTTAAAGCACACAAATTTTTTAAGATGTGACATGAACATATAATATGAAATAATTTACAATTTAAACATGGTTTTAATTGAGATTTCAAAATATTTACCATTGAATCATTACTACTAGCATAATCAAAACTAATAGAAAAAAATTTTAATTTTTAATTTTATAAGTTTGTAATTAATTGAGATTTCAAAATATTTATTGTTGAACCATCATTACTTGTGCTGTCAAAACTAATAGAAAAAACTTTATTTTCATTTTCATAAGTATATAAAGTATTTAAAATACTTGTAGCAATTGTTGGGCCAGTATGTGGCCATTAATGTTTATTAGAACTTAAAATTCTTTGTTGTAAAAGCCAATTTTCATCAATAAAATGTCCAATAATACAAATATAACTTATATTGTACTTAGAAGTTCAAATATCAGAAGAAAGTGCAACTTTAGAATTAAGTGTTGATAAAATAGAAATTAAATTTTGTTTATATGAATAAAAAAAGTTCAAAAACATATGCTCTAATAGTATTTCTATAAACTCTTTTAAATCAGGGATTTACAAATTATTGTAAATTGCATGAAAAAGTGGGACTTATGGATCACAAAATGTCGAACCATATGGTCTCTGATCAAAAGGCTAGTGGTTGTCAGGTGGCCTGCTGGTTATGCACGCAAGGTTATATATATGTGATATTATTTTTCTTGAATGGAGTGTGTGTAGTCTTGATTCATTCATAAATCCGTTGGCTTATTGTGTCATGGTCTAATTCAGTGTTTTAGAACCGTTGTTGATGTAAATGGTTAGATTGTTCAGCCCGAGAATCGTTCAGGCAACTGATTCTACTTTACCTTAACTCGGTCTTTGGTAAGAAACCGTTGATTTGGTCAGGTTTGCTAACCCAGGCAGTCAAACTGTCAACCTGGAAACTAGGGCCAGAATAGTTCAAATTATGGGTTAGTTTTTAAAACTTTGGTCTAACTCTAATTGATGAATGGGCAATCGTGGCAAAGCTTATTTTATTAGATGATAGACACTATTAGTCCATCTCGTCAAAATATCTTTTCAAATATCGACACAATCCAATCCAAATTTATTCCACTTGTTTGAGATACAAAACTATCAATACAGGTTCCCTAAACAAAATGGGTATGTGTTCGCTCAAAATGACATGGTGACCATGCAATGTGAAGAGTGACTAGCTGAAGAGCATTTATGAAAGCTATCACCTCCCAATCCACCAAGCATCTCTATAAATACTGGACCACTCCCTTCGCAAATTCACCATGGCTTGGTAGTGCAAATTCTCTCTTAACCTGTTTCCATAAATCATGGCTAAATCTTGCTTGCTTTCTCTTGGTCTTTGTCTCTTTATCTTGTTTCATGGTTGCCTAGCTGCTGGGCGATACGATTTTCATCAAGACCAAGATTAGAATCGGCCTGATCACTAGTTCCAAGGAGAACAAAATGACTGCCAAATCAATAATCTTGATGCCCTTGAACCATCTCGTAGAATTGAAGCTAAGGTTGGCCAATTTGAAATATGGGATGACAACAATGGCCAGTTCAAGTGTGTTGGGGTTGCAGCTTATCGTGTTACCGTTGAGCTCAAGGGACTCTCCTTACCTATCTATCATAATATGCCTAAGATCCTCTACATTGTCCAAGGCTAGCCCACTAAATCCTTCTTTACACATCTACTTTAGATATATGTTATATTTTATCATATACCACTCCAAACATTTGTTATAACTTTTGTGCTTGTAATCCATGTGTTCAGGTAGGGGAGTTGTAGGATTATCAATCCCTGGGTGCCCTGAAACATTCCAATCATTTCAACAAGATGATCAATTCGAGGAAGAAGGTAGAAGAAGCCAAAGATTGGAGGATGATGAAGACGATAACGGTCAAAGATCACAAGAACAAGATGATAAAAATCAATAGTCTGAGGATGAATGTAG